CTTCTGCTCCTCCGAGTACTAAGTGTTCTCAGGGGGTGCTGCGTAGGGGCCGGCGGGACTTTTCGAGGTTATAATTCAGAGACTGGAGAGTTGGTGTCACAAGGGGGTCCGTGTCTGAACAATGAACAGAGGACACAGACTGTAGTCACTTTTGCAAAAAAAGTCCTCTGTTGCTGAAGTCAGCTCTAAACCTAAATAACTATTTCAACCCAATCTCATGAGAAAACATAGCTATTTTACGAGGTCTTATGAATTTGTACAATGTGATTGGTACGCAAATTTGAGAAAAATTGTTAGCATGAAATTAATCCCATAATCCCAACCCTAAATATAACTGTAATCAGGATGCAAGTATATCATAAAAAAGGTAAAATTCATACGTATTAGCCAACAATTGCAAACTGCCATGAGAGTTTGTTGGCTGTTTTTACTTATTGGTTACCATTATCCAGTAGATAGCCCAAATGGCCTACATTTTACTTTTATTAGTTATATATTTATTGTAAATTATGAAATAATACATAATTACTTAAATGTCTTCTAATATCGTTCAGTAAGATTTAATTTTTTTAAGTTGTCCACAATAACACCAGGAATATGCATTAAATAAAAGCTTAATTCTGATTATATGTTGACTTTATTGCCAGATTTGGAGTATTAATAGCTTTTCTGATTTATTATGAGCATATTTGTCTTCCTCTCTTTGGTTTCTTGTGTTAGTAGAAGAGTAGCATTTAACGACTTGGGTGTTAAAAATGCTGTCTTTTTCTGACAGAGTAATTAATTGGTTTGGTTGCAAATTAGCAAGCATCTCTTGCTTCAGGAAGGACTCCTACCTTGATAACAACCAGGTGCCACTGCAAAGTACAGCAGGAAGGCCATGTATCAGCTAGCAAAGGACGAGCAGCGATTTGATATCATGCCTTGGTATCAGCAAAACAACACTTTTCACTGTGTTTGTTTATGAAGAACCGCTGAATGTGGCCTCATTTTATTCCTCCAGTTTTTGTGATTTCACAAGTTTTTTTTGTGAGATTGTTAATTTTAGCTGCGTCTTCGTCTGCCAGACAATCTATATTAGGTAATGTGAGAGGATTATGTTTTCGCTTAGTTTTAATACGAGTTGAATGGAATTCCTAAGAGAATGTAATAAGAGCAGTCACACTTTCTTAAACTGTTATTGTTATCTCTGACCACATTAATCTGTGGCATGCTTCCAACAGAGAGGGAAGTCGTGGCCTAATGGTTAGAGAGTCGGACTCGTAACCCAAAGGTTGTGAGTTCAAGTCTCGTACCGGCAGGGATTGTAGGTGGGGGGAGTGAATGTACAGCGTTCTCTCCCACCTTCAATACAACGACTGAGGTGCCCTTGAGCAAGGCACTGAACCCCCAACTGCTCCTCGGGCGCCGCAGCATAAATGGCTGCCCACTGCTCCGGGTGTGTGTTCACGGTGTGTGTGTGCACTTTGGATGGGTTAAATGCAGAGCACTAATTCCAAGTATGGGTCACATGTCACGAGAGTGTGATAATATGTTAAAGCTGGCATGAAGTGGAAATTCACCCTGTCTGTTTTCTTAATGTTTAATTTTTGAGCTCGTAATTTAATGAAAATATCACAACTCATCCTTCCAGTGAAACAACAGACTTCTCTCTTGTGACGTACTGCTTACGTTTGTCTTCTCCAGTCATTTTAGTCTGCTTAAATCCCGCCCCTATTTTATAAGCTTGTAATTCAGATCTGCCCTCATCTAATGAACATTTGATAAATAAAACCGAGCTCCTGCATTACATTTTTTTTTTTTGTAACCTATTTCACTCAGATGTACGTCACAATATAGAAAAAAAAAAAAAATGGTAACACTTTAGATTAGGGAACACATATTCGCTATCAACTAAGAGGGTTTCCCTCAATAAACTCCTAATTTGCTGCTTATTAATAGTTAGTAAGGCTAGTCGTTATGTTTAGGTATTGTCTAGAGTTAAGGGATCTTGAATATGGTCAGGCAGGGCATTAATATGTGCCTAATAATTACTAATAAACAGCCAATATGCTAGTAATATGCATGCTAATAAGAAACTAGTTAATATAGTGAGAAGTGGTCCTTAAAATAAAGTTTTACCAAAAAAAAAAAATCTGTCGCTATTTCCATTGCATCGCAACTTAAAGGGTTTTTTTTTTTGCCTGGTTTAAGTGAATGTAAAGTCTCTAAGTTGGTTCTTACAGTTTTGGGACTACAATACAGTAATTCTGCTGTAAAGTTGTGTCTGATTGATTGTATTTTCAGAACATACATTGAAGCCTCGACAATTTTGTAATTTCCAGTGGGACATTATATTTTATTGAGCTCACATTTTCATTGTTGGGTTTTGGGGGCATGTCAATTAAAGACTCATGATAGGGGCAAATTAGTCATGATTGATGTTGTAATTGTCAATGTTTGCTCTACAATTACACTGTATTAAGGTTGTCAACTTAGCATAATAATTGACTGTGATTAATTATATTGAAATCATTAAATATGGAAAAACTTCAGACACCATCTTTGGTCGAACGGCATTTTTAAAATGCTCAACCTGCTTTTAACTGAAAACACCAGTGATAGGCTTACATTTAACATGGAAATACAACAAACAATATTGTTGTAATGTCTATTTAATGACTTAGTAATGTTTATTTAATGATTTACTCATCTGGCACAATATTATCTTTGAATTATCTTCATTTGTGGGCTTTTCTTAGCAAATATTGTGATTTAATTTGATTAATTAGTGAGAATATCATGTAATTAATTTGATTAATGTTTTAATTGATCGACATCTCTAGTATGCATTTGTGTACTGAATAATTCTAGTAAATACTGCTCATGTAGCTGGTTTATGGGCTGACCTGGGTTGGCATTTCTCATCATTCATTGTGCATGGCACCACAAGAATGATAAAATACATAGTTAACACATCAGTTACATATATTATGCATATTTGCACTTCATTTTGTTGCATTAGCACTAAAAACATTGTGTGAAAGAGAGAAAGAAATATGACAGTGTGGCAGTTTTTCTCTGACTGAAATCACTTGAATGCACATCACGTCGTAATTATGATTTTGGAACTCGTAAGTAGGAACTTCCCAGGAGGTCTTCAAGGCAATGCTGTCTGTGAACACGCCAGGCCGAATCCCAGTGTGTGGTTCAGACCGCCACGACGTGTTTATCATGTGAACCCTAAGCCAGGCTACAGACAACCCTTGTTTGGCTGGAGACTCAACCCTCCACACCCAGCTAAACGACCCGGAGCTGGTCTGGAGAGCCATGCTTAGTTACTGAAGAATCAGCTGTTGACAGCAGCTATTTGGGGACTTCACCCCTGTGGCTTTGGTGAAAACAACAAGCACAGGGGCTTTGGAACATCAGCTTCCAGTCCTTGATTGCTAGGAGATCACAAGCTCACACATACTCACAGTCCCCTATAGACAGGGATAGTGATAGGCCTGTGTTCTTTCGGCCCACGGTATGGGTGTTGTGCCGTACAGCTGTAATCACACCCATCATATCCAGATGACAAAACAGTGGGCCGCAAGTGTGCAGCTGTGCACCGGTAGCTGAACAGATGACTGACCCTACAACAAACAGAAACGGGGCGAGTGAGAGGAGTGTTTTTCCATGACTTGTTTATCCTCGGAGTATTTAAAGTGACCCACCCAGGGGTTGAGAAGTTATGGATACAAAACAAAGTCATTTTGTAGTTCAAGTAGTCTCATTTTTGCTAAATCAAATTGTAGGTTGCTCTGCAGTATGAGACAGGTTTCTGAAAAAACGGTTCTGACTCAACAGCTGAATTGCTCATAGATGCGCAAGGCCTGTTATTTATTGGCAAGCGGGCTGCATTCCTCAGAGACCAACAGACACAAATTACATGCATGCAGATGCATCAAAAATTCACAGGAATAAATGAAATTTTAAAGTATATTAAACTAGAAAACCAAAAAATTAGGTCAGATTCTTGCTATTAACAAACCATTAAGTATGACATTTGCCTCAATAAACTCCTAATTTGCTGTTTATTAATAGTTAGTAAGTTAGTTGTTAAGTTTAGGCATTGGGTATTACGGATGTAGAATATGGTCATGCAGAATATGTGCTTTATAAGTAGTAATAAACAGCCAATATGTTAATAATAGTCATGCTAATAAGTAACTAGTTAATAGTGAGAATTGGTCCCTATACTAAAGTGTTACCAAAAATTGTAAATTGTAATAATATTTTACAATATTACTGTTTTTTTTCTGTTTTTTTACAGATAAATGCAGCCTTGATGAGCATACGAGACTTAAAACATAAAAAATCTTACTGATCCCAAACTTTTGATATACATATATAGTTTTTATTAACATTTGTTTATTTATTAGTCTTTTTTATATATAAATATTGAATATATCAGCTAACCCCCATCTTGAGTGTATTCGTCCGTCCTAAGCACACAAACATGCATGCACACCGATAAGGTGAACACGCAGTGGGCTGAAATACTAGCGCTTGTATTAGCAATGTGTGTTTGCACTGCAAATAAGATTTGATAATGTTGCTGGCAGATAGAAGAGTCTTCAGGGTCGGGGTCATTCTTATTTTGAAAATGCGCTGCTCTCTGCCACCATTTATCTATCGTGTAAGTCATGAGAGGCTAGGAATGTAGGAACTGCATAATCCTTTATAACAAGTCTACGTTTCTCTCTTATTCCCGAGTTCTACGATACCCCTTGGACCTCAAATGCACATGTAATTGGCCATGTGCTCCTCTCTAGCATTCAGTAGCCTCATTACTTCAGCATCGCCAGACCTGTTGGCTTTGGGGAACCCACAATTTTAATGATACTGTAAAAAATATATCGGGATGATTCTGAATTTTAAAATCTGGTTGCTCTGTTTGATCTGGTAATTTATTACTACGAATTTCTGTTTCTGTGGCGTCCTCATTGATATGTGTCTCTTTCATTTTCGCTCAGATGAAAACTGGGATGACGACCAGCTCTTGGGCTTTGAGCCATGCAATGAAAACCTGGTTACGGGCTGTAACATCATTGATGGGAAGTGTGAATGTGACAGTGTACGAACATGCAACAACCCATTTGAGTTTGCTAGCCAGGAAGCCTGTCAGACAGCCCTGCAGAAGATTGAAGGTACCTCTAATTTCTCCATTCTCATTATCTTTTCTCTCTGTCTACTTCTAGCGTAAAACTTGGACCTGCATGCTCATATCTTTCTGCAGTAGTCATAATGTCATCATGCTGTTTAATGCCTTGATGGGTTACATCTTTAAAATATGTGTTTGAACTCTCGATTGCTTGATTTTGTGAGCATACTCAAAAACAGGCTCTATAATGAGTCCCTGTACAATTTGTTGCAAGGTAAAACTCGCATGTTAATAAAAATATCAAGAATTTGATGCGTTCTTCTGCCATGAATTATTTTTAATTATTTATAATTAGCTTTGCTAATTGGAATAAGCTTCATTATTAGTTTTGAGAGAATCCAAAAATAATCTAAGTGTTAATTTTTGGCATCACTGAAGGGATAATTACCTGTGAACTAATTTAAATTCATGCATATAAATACAACTGAGAATGTCAGCGACAGTCAATGCGGTTTCGTTTTTTGTGCAAATGTGCAGTAGATAATTTCCCAAGCTATTGTTGTGTCTTGTTCAAATTTCCCCTAAATAAAAACCCCAAACAAATACTTGTTTCGCAAAAAGTTTTGCCTTTCCTAAGCATAGCCATCTGCATAACCAACGTGTTAGAAATCCCTGGAGCCGTGGGGTTTTTTTTTTTCTAAAGGGTGGGGTAGGAAAAGAGGCATCTTGCTTATATGACAGGTTTTTTTAGAAGCCTGTGGTTAAACAAACAAACAAGCTGATTTACTAGAGGCTGATAAGGCTCCTTTTAGAGCTATCAGAATGCAAATGTTGCGTTGAAAAAATGCAGTCCCTGATGGATACTTGCTCGCATTCTCTCGCCTGTGCGTTGAGTCTGAGCTGGTGGCACACTGGCAATTAAACATAAAAATACATGCTTGTTATCACAACGGTCCTGGCAATGGGTGCAGGGCTTGTTGTTTTATTGCGGCAGGTGTGCTTTCCGTCATCCCTGAAGCAGGCGGTGGCTATTTTTGAAGGTTTACCCCCTGTTTTGTTTTACTAATAGGTGCTTGTCATGTTGTTTTGACTAGTGCTTCAGAGTTGTTGCAGTTGTCAGTTGTTTATTGTGATGTTGTGTCTAGTCTGGGATGTTGTTTTGCTTGTCTGTTTGTAGAGTTGTCAATTTACTAGAAATGTTTTGTCTAATAGTTACTTAATTCTCTTGATGAGTAGCTCGTTGTTGTTGTCTATCATTTTGATGTCTTTGTCCCTTTACAGTGTTTTATTAGTTGTGCCAAGCTGATAAAACAGGCAAAAATAAATCTCAGACTTACACTAAGCCATAGGCGCGGGAAGTGGGGGTGCTGAGGGTGCTGGAGCACCCCCTGTTTTTTTCTGTGGGCAACTGTTTAACTGTTGAGAATTAAAAAAAAGTCTATTTAGTGTCTATTTACACTAAGTGCAAATAGCCCGCCTTGTTGGCAGAGGCTATTTACACTAACTCCACCCACCAACGTGTGATTGGGATAGTCAACATTACAAAAGACGGTCAATGATCGTTAGATTCAGTGGCGTAGATAGTAAAGCGTGTGTCATAGCCAACTACTTTTGACGCGATCAACCCGGGTTCAAATATGCCTTTTGGCGAACTTTTTTTTCTCCCTTTTCAAATTTCAAATCACATCAGAAAAGCGTTTATTTTTAATAAAAATGATGGAAATAATCAAAAAGTTGAAAATAAAGTATCGGGTAGGGTTAGGGTAGGTGTAAGGTGGCATCCATTTAATAATTTGAATTATAATTAAAATTTACACTCAATAAGTTATTATTGCATAATGTTTTATAATGTATTACAATGCTGAGGTGCAGATAATTGCCACTATTTGCAATAAGTAATTAGCAGAATATCCTGCTATTTTAACATAATATAAATAGAATAGCTATTTGCACTTAGTGTAAATAGCATATGATATCACAAAAAAATACTGCTATTTTCACTTAGTGTAAATAGCATCTATCGCTAAGAAAATATGCTATTTTCACTTAGTGTATATAGCCTCTATCGCCCCCCCGCACGTACAGCACCCCCAACCTAAAACATCTTCCCGCGTCCCTGCACTAAGCAATACCCTGCTGAAAAAAAATATCATAGGGAGTTGGTGGTGGGCTTGACTTGGACCACCCTGGTAACAGACTGACAACCACGGAAATGCAACCCCTTGCTCATTGGGAAAACGTGCTTGTGGCAAAATTTCAGCAAAATGATATTACATTGCTCGTTGCAAGTTTCAAAGTGAAATGGCACTAAAAATGAGTTCAGTTTTTCCTGAAAGAGATGAACGTGAATGTGGCAACATTTTATTACATTGGCTGTTGTATGTATTTTGGCAGTTTTGTAATAAAATGTCTGGTGAGTGGCAAAATAGCGTACCACCTTCATTAAACCCTACCCTAAACCTAACTGATAATGGTAACATAAAATAAAAATAAGTTTTTTGAAATAACCTTGCCATTTAGCTTGCTTCTAAAAGTCTTTGAGCTCTTTTATTGTGTCTTGTGTTTTATAGGACCTGCTGTATGAGGTGCGCTACCAAGCAAGGTTACTACGCTAGAAAAGATATACATATGAAGCTGGTTATGTGATGCAAACATCAAAATGTATTAGTTTACAAATCATGCACTATGGTAAAAGTGTTTTAGGTCATAACATAGTATTGTGCAAGGAGCCATGCAAAAAAGTGTGTTTATTAATCAGTAACCTCCATCATAATATGTGAAAAGGAATAAAAGTTATTTTTGAAAATATTTTACTGCAACTAATGTTCATTGTAGCTAGAAACTTTAGCAAATATTATATAGGCCTATAGGTATGTTTTTGCTAAAAAGTAGATAGAGACATGTTTTTCCCAATGAGCCTATTTTGCAGAAATGACAAAAAGAAAGAAAAAAACTACTTGGAACACCTTAGCAACTGCTAAATTTGCACAGGCAAACACACTCACAATTTTTCAGATAATAAAAAATTATTCATTTTATAGTTTTATATTTGCTTTAGTGTTTTTAGTGCTTCATATCTGAAGATTTGTTTTGCTCATGCAGTTGTTTTGCTCATGCTAGTCCAAAGCAAGTTCAGTAATAAAAGTTTTTAACAGAGCATGGAGAGACACTACCCACCTAGCTGGTGAACACTTTTTGTTGCTTGAGAACGTGATGCATTCTCTGGCTGTTGCGTAAGTTGTTTTTCCTCCAATCTCCTCATACATCTGTTTGCGTTCAGTGCCGTGAGGAGTGTGGGCCAAAGCACATGTTTTGCAGTGTTGTAATGGTATGCGCTCAGCAGTTATCATTTGCATATGAAAAACATTACTGTCGTGATTCATCAACCTGGCCATCTTTTGTGTCTAGAGTAAGCAGACATTGTGAGATTTTATTGATTTTACATTAAACAATTGCTTCTGTCACACAGAAGTGGAGCCGTCGTCGTAATATGATTAAATTCTACCTCGTACTTCAGTTCCGATGTTCTTTTTGCGCTGCTGGTGAAGGGAAGAGGAAGAAGTGTATTTAAGCAACTGCACGTGCAACCAAATCAGAATCACCTGAAATATGGGCTCGTTCTTCGAGGTCATTCACCCTATTCAGCCCGATGGAAAAACGTCCTATCTCACAAGGGAATGTTTTTTCTTTACGGGAAGCTGGCAGACACAAGGGCAAACACTGAATAGATACGTGCTATTGATATTAGGGTCTTTCGCACCGCGGGAACCTTTTCATAGTACCAGAACTAATTGTGGAACTACCATCAGTAGCGCATCGGAACAGGCTCTATTTTGAACAGTGCTGTGACCTCTTGATTTCTTCAGCCAGTACTGTGAGGAGTGGGGTCTTTTGAAAGGACAGTAAAGATTGATAATGCCGTCACAGTGCCCTCTTCAAGGTTCTCTAATGACATCCATATTCTCTGCTACCATTGGTACTACAGGAAATCAATCCCCAATAAAACCGTTATAATATGTTGACCTTTGGTGTCTAAGTAGATTTTCTCTCAGGGTAAAAAAATATTCCAGAGCAGTAAATCATCACCAGACCTGATGGAAAGATGTTAGTTTTCACATCCTGCTTTATCTGTTGTAGCATGGTCTGTTTTAAATAAACCCAATGTTACGTGAAAAAAAAAAAACGGTGGCCAGTTGCTTTAAAAGTCAGTCACTAAGTGGGCGGTTCTTAGCAAGAATAATTGGTCTAAGTGAGACTAGAAGGATGGTAAAAAGATTGATCTTTATGGTACTGAGACACTGTTCAAGGTTCTCAGAATTAATTAGTCACGTCCATTTGCTTGAGAAGTTAATACTTAAACTATGACACATTGAGGAATTACATTTTTGGCCAACCAAGGTTAGCCCCACACAGAATCTGTTCCCCTTGGTATATTTTCACACATATTGAGGGAGAAAAATATGTGTTATACAATGGGAATGGATTGAAATATGGTAACGTGTGTTCAAATTAGTCTGAGACAGTAGATAGAGGCATGTTCTGTTTTTATTTACTCTAGAATGGCTACAAAATGGCTATGAAAATGTTTGATACTGTTGCTGTCAGATTTGTTGGCTAATTTAATAGATTTCCCCCCATTCAAGTAGACAGCAGCTGAACTTGTATGCCTGTTGCCAAGATGGCCGCCGACTGAAATGACTTTAAAGGGACTTCAGTGTGTAAGACAGTATGTCATTCACATGTATTTGCAGCAGAGAGAAATTTAGATGGGAAAGGGTCAAAGTGCTTGTTTCAGGGTGTCATGCACTTGTTTTAACGGTGGAGTGCTTTTGACCATCAAACGTACAGGCTTCTTTGGATCAACCGAGACTTCTGAAGAAATGGGTCCAGGTTATTCAAGGCAATTTTACTGTCAGTGAGAAATGACTGGGCTAAACGGCGGTAAGGGAATGTACTGGACCTCTTTTAGAGAGAGCCTGTATTTGAAATTAACATGGAGGTGAATGGTAGTCTTCCACTGATCCAGTTTAGACCCCTGACCTAGAG